TGGAAATGAACAACTTCAAATTAATTTATTTTTACAAGGATTTAGAAGTATTTCAGCTCAACCAACACGTGTTTCGTACTATGTAGTTTGATAATTGAACTACGATAATTTAATTATTTAAAACGTTCAACTTTCTAGTCAATAATCGCTTTACTGGTTAATAATTTTTTATATTTTTTTTGCAGAAGTAGTTTATTATTAATAATGTCTGTCCCATATTTGAAAAAAATCGCTTCAGCGAAAAACATGTTAAGACAAAAATTCTTTAAAAAAATATGTTATGTAATTCCGTTTATATTAATTTTATGTGTTATCTCTTAATTTTTTTCTCGAAATTTTCATATTCTCTGTGTGGGAGTAGATCTGTTTTAAATACATAATTCCTCCTACAAGTTCAAACTTTGTGCTAAAAGCAAAATAATTAGGAGTTAAAATTACAAACTAACTCTTCAACTACATACTTGTAATTTACACAAACAGTTTAGTGAAGTGCGGGACAAATTTTCGAGTTTGGTAAAGTTTAACTCTCTCCTATTCATCATTAAGTAATGAATCCGGCTAGGATATAACCTTATTTAAAATACTTGTGGTATATATTACGTGAAATTTATCAAGTAGTCCCGTTTAATCAAGAGAATCGTAACAATTAAAGAAAGTTCAGCAATGATGGCAACGGAAAACTTTGGAAAATTGTAATCTACTTCAATCTCGTATGAATAATATGGATCCTTCTAATTTAAAAATCTGTATCATTATCAACTTTAAAGTTTATAAATGTAATAAGTTATACAACATATTTCAGAAATAAATATAAACTTAATTTCACTCTTTTAGTACAACTAAAATTTTATGAGTAAAACTATCTGTTTTTGTTTAAATATTTCTAAAAATGTGTAGAATTATCAAAAAGCCCAATATTGACTGAAAATGTACTCAATAATTTCTCTCAATGATTTGCGTACTTTTTGCTTTCACTCAGACCGATTTATTTGCACTGTAGAGTTCGATTTGCCCTTCTTTTTAAACTTAATTTTAAACGGATTTTCTGCTCACAAAATTATTTTTTTTATTAATATTTTGTTATCTGGATTCTATGTCAATTTTTAGGTGTACTTTAATAAAGGTTTCCTATTCTTAAAGTTAACCGTTTTTGATATATTTAATTTTTTTTAAATTAAAAAAACACTACCTAATTCAAAAAGATGTGTATTTTACAATAATAAAATTAGAGCGATAAAATGTATAGGGGACATAACTAAAACTCTTAGCTTCCCTGCCATAATTTAAAATGACTTAATTTTATACAGGGTGGTAGAAATTTAATGCCGAATTTAGTCAACTTTAAACCATTTTAATTTATCTTTTTAAATAGAACAAACACCATGTATATTTTTGCGCAACCTGATGAACAATTTTGTTCTCTTTCGAATGGTATAATTGTTCCCTATGCCTATCACTTCTTGTTTTTAATTTTTATTTACTGTTTTTCGTGCAGTCAACGGGATATCGCATAATTTCTTGCGAGGATGGTTGTGAAATTTTTAGTGGAACTTCAAAACAAGCACCTACTCTGTCAGTATTATTTATTGTTAAAGAATGGAAAACGTAAATATTTATTCAGTTGCTGGCATTCTAATTTTATTATTTATTCACTGTGTGGATATTGAGTAATTAATTCCTATCCGTTGGTGTTTATGGTGTTGTATTGTAGACCATTTAATTTGTTGCTTTTTAATAAATAATGCGTACGCTTATGTCTCGCGGCTCAGTTTTGACAGCCCTAATTATTAATGTTGCTTTTAACTTTATTATTAAGCTAATTGAAATATACACTAACGCAAAAAATTAAAGGGTTAGAAAAATTTCCGAAACTTTTCCGTGATTTTTGACAGACTGTATTTAGGTGAAAAATGGTCGTATCGAGAATTAAAAAAAGCTTCTATGTTGTTATAAATGAAGCCAAATATATCGCTGGCTTTAGATTTGCCGACTTTGGAGCTATGTTTTCGAAGGCTTCCATGTGAACATGTGCCAGGCTTGGGAATATTATTTTTCTCCATTATAAGAAGTTATACAGGGTGTATTTAAATGGAGGGGCACAAATTATACCAGAGATTCCCTGGGTGAAAAAAAGTCGATTTAACCTAACATACCTATATCCCAAGTCGCATAATAAAAAAGATACAGGGTGTCAAAGTGAAAAATAAAAAAATGGGTTTTCCTTAATAATTTCTATAATTTTAGTCAGAAATGTTTCAAATTTTCAACAGAGAGGTTTTTTAGTAATTGGAAAAATAATATAATAATGATTTTTGAGTGTCGAGTACGAGGCGCCCTCTGCAGGCAACGTTATGCATTGAATATGTAGTAACTTTTTTGTCAACCCCCGTATACAGCTTTTAGTAACAAAATATGAAATATTGGACTTTTTTGAACAAAAAAGGTATACTTATTGAAAATGGCTAAAGCCAACCGTTGAGGAGATATTTTTAATTTCATAAATTAGTGTTACGGATTTATACCTCCACGAATACCAAGGTACAAACAGACACTTTTGTTAATAAATTCAGAACGCATTGCCTCACAGTAATTATTAGTTGTGTTCTGTATTTTAAAATTCGACCAAAAGGGGGCGCAGAAATCAACTGAGACAACATTATTTTTCTTGTTTTAAATTTACTTTACTATTTTTGCATACCTATTATTTTAGCGTGTGTGAATACACTTGTTGCATAATTTCTATTTAATTGTTTTTTCGGTGTCTTTATTAAAAAACACATTTTCTTGTGTATGTGAAATTATTTAAACTCTGAGTTAAAGAAATCTCATGAAATAACAGTTCAGCTGAAAAAATATTACAAAATACTTACCTATTTATTGTTAGTTTAATAATAATTATTAGAAAAAGAGCAAAACAACTAACACCAAGAGTCACTACTTAACAGTCAATACCTAGATAATTTAAGAGAAATATGTAATTGGCTGGCAATAAAAAATTTTTTAAAGGATATTTTCGAAGTCATTTCCATTTTCCTGCAAGGATAGTCTAATTCTACGATTAGAATTACGGCGAACTCTTGAAAAAATATGTATGTCATTCTTTACTTCCTCAGCTGCTGCAAAAATTCTCCACACTATCAATAGGGTTGGAATAAACAACATTTTTAAGTGACCCCATAAAAATAGTCCATGGGTGTGAGATCCGGTAATCGCACAGGCCATTTGACTGGTGCATCGTTCCCTCGACCTATCGATCTCTCAGGAAAATTTAAATTTAACCATTGTCTAACAGCTACTAACCATTGCCTAACAACTATGAACAAGAGTTCCGTCACGTGCGTACCACATGTGTTCACGGATAGCTAGTGGCACATCTTCAAGCAATATTGGGAGTTGCTCATTTAAAAATCTCAAATATTCAAATATCCAGCTCCGCCGAGATGCCGAGGAAGAATAAACAGACCAATAAGATAATCTTCTACGATTGTTGCCAATACATTTAAACTAAAATTATGTTGAAATTTGGATGTACAAACTTGGTGAGGATTTTTGTCAGACCATGAGTGAAAATGACGCTTAATCACCAAACAAAATACCGGATAAAATATTTCTGTTTTCCCTTGAAATGTTCATATACCATTGACAAAAATATATCTTGTTAGGTAAATCCGCAGCAGTCAATTCATACACAGGTAGATGGTAGGGGTATAAAAGATTATCATTTGCAATTTTCCAAATCGTAGTATGTGAAACGTTATACTGTGTCGCCAATTTTCTGGTACTAGTTTCAGAATTCTGATCTTGTAAATTGATAAGGACAATTTCTTCAAGTTCTACATCGCGAATAAGATGTCTTCTGCCAGTACCTTCAGGAGGAGGTTGAAGTTTTTTTTTACCGACGCAAAAGTTTTTCTAGCAGGAACACGACGATTGGGATAACTAGCATGATGAAGTCGTACAGCAGCAGCACAGTTCTTGTAACATTTAAAAAATACTTGCAACATATCGACATACTCGTCATTAGTATACATAATTTGTTATTTTATTCAATTCCAAAACTATTTAATATCTAGGATGCAGGTAAATAGTGACTAAAATCAATTAACACTTTAAACTAATACTTCAAAATTGCAATTTACGAGTATTATCAACTGACATTTATCTACTCGATTTTTAAATTTATTTAAGCAACTCGAACCTTGGTATTCGTGGAGGTATAAATCCGTAACACTAATTTATTAAATTAAAAATATCTCCTAAACGGTTGGCTTTAGCCATTTTCAATAAGTATACCTTTTTTGTTCAAAAAAGTCCAATATTTCATATTTTGTTACTAAAAGCTGTATACGGGGGTTGGCAAAAAAGTTACTACGTATTTAATGCATAACGTTGCCAGCAGAGGGCGCCTCGTACTCGACACTCAAAAATCATTATTATATTATTTTTCCCATCATTAAAAAATCTCTCTGTTGAAAATTTGAAATATTTTTTTATTTTTATTAAGGAAAAACCATTTTTTATTTTTCACTTTGACACCCTGTATCTTTTTTATTATGCGACTTGGGATATAGGTATGTTAGGTTAAATCGACTTATTTTCACTCAAGGAATCTCTGGTAATATTTGTGCCCCTCCATTTAAATACACCCTGTATATTAGACTTACGTAGTCAAAACTAGAGTATTTTCTCTGTAAGTTTCATGAAATATAGTCAACATAATTTTCTGTTACTTTTTAAAATACGTTTGAGAATTAACCAGTTGATAATTTGGTAGAGATCTACAGATCTAATTCACTAGAAAAAGGATAGACAAACATGCGTAAGAAAGCAACATCTAGAAGCGTCTATACAAAGCACTTAACACTCTGACATTGAAGTTAATGCTAAATTTATTTAATTTCTTAAATATACTAAGCTACATTTATGTCTTAATTCGTAAGGACAGTCTGGCAAAGTGCGGGACAAATTTTCATGCCGTCAAATAAAGTTCCAGCTCTCACCTCGTCGTCGTTAATGAACCAGGTTAAGTTGGCGGGGGGATCCGATCCTGGGGAGTAGCAGTGGGCCGTTATCTTCTTTCCGATCTCGACTTTGGTGGGCTCGATATTCATCACTGGATTACCGTTAGGCAGGTCTGTAAGGTAAGGGCCTTTTATTTAGGAAATCCCTATATTTCCAAAGTTAACAAATATGTGGATGAGCCCCGAAAGAAGTTAGACCTTGTAACGGGGGCGATATGTTCTCTAGGATTACGCGTCTCCACGTTTATTTGGGTAAGATTTAATTTTCTCGGGGCGGTTGAATATTAGTGCCAGGCAATAGGATGGAAGGATTCCATTACGGATTTCGGAGGGTGCACCCTTCGACACGTTGAAGAAAGTTGATTGAGATTTGAGTGGGAAAGTTTGTTACGGGCGACGCGACGGTTTTGAAAGGATCACGGCGATTTTTTTGCTTCAACAAGGGACATCCCAGAGAATTTAATAGAAAAAAAAAATCGTTTTCTGAAGTTTCTAAAAATGTATTGCTTTATTTTCATATTTTAATAGATTTATCATTGTTATTTATTATTTTCTATCTATTCTTTAATGAAAATTATTACAGATTTTTCAGTAAAGTACAAGTTTTTAATAATGGAAATTCAATATTCAGTCAATATAGCTCAGTATTGCTTTGAGCACGACAGATCCAAAATTTATTAATTTTAATAATTCACATTTATTTTTTATCTTGTAAATTTCGTAAATTTTTGGAGGTGGATGAAAAATGTGTAATAATGAGAGTGAAATTGAGAATTTAACTCCACCAGAAATTGTAGAACGGGCCTGAAGAAGAGCAAATAATTTATAAAAATAAGGTTAACAGTTTTTTTAGAAAAAAGACTGTTTATTTTAACACCAAAAAATTGAAATCTACAAGTTTATGGCAGGGTGTTGACTAGCTAGTAGTAGTTGTCGATGGTAGAAGATATCTAGCTGACCATCCCTATGAAGCAGAAGACCCTGTGAAATCGAAATTTTCACCTATGCACAGTGGGAAATATTGGAAAAATTCTCGCCACTCACCAATTTTCATCGTCTCGTGATTTTTTTTTTAATAATCTCGTGGTAATCTGAATATTCATATTCCGGTGAGGTTTTTTCGAAAAACCCTTTTTTAATGCTTAGGGAGCGCCCCAACCTCAATGTCAAACAAAATTTTTGAATACTCGATGTTCAGTTGTAGAAAAAAATTTTTAAAAAGTATCTGCTATTAATAAAATTGATTATTATGACCCTTGATGATATATCTGATGTTTTTTCTTCAAAAACCCAACGTCAAAATTATTAATTCTAACCTAAAAGCCTTAAATTTACAGTGGGAAAAGTTTTTTTACACACCAAAAGTACAACATAGATTCAATAGAACCCTACGTAACATGTTATACCCAAACCATGAATTTGAATCTAAAAAACCTAACCTCAAACAACATTAACTAAGTTTAAACTCACTAAATTAAGGATTAATAAAAAAAATTAAAAATATCTTACTTTTTATTAAAGAAAATAATTTCGTGACAATTTTTTTCACTCTAAAGATTTGATTTGACAATCTTTCCAGTTTTGAGGTTAGGTTTTTTAGATTCAAATTCATGGTTTGGGTATAACATGTTCCGTAGGGTTCTATTGAATCTATTTCGTACTTTTGGTTTGGTTTTTCGAAAAAACCTCACCGGAATATGAAAATTCAGATTACCACGAGATTATTAAAAAAAAATCACGACGAGACGATGAAAATTGGCGAGTGGCGAGAATTTTTTCCAATATTTCCCACTGTGCTATGTTTTGAATCGAAATTATCACCCATGCTTTGAATACAACCGCTGAAACTGTCCACAGAACCTAAAAGCGCTCTAAACATCCCAAACCGCAGCAGACGATATTTGGAGAGCATGATGCTGTTGATTGAACGATCGCTGACGATTGTCGCGAGACACTCCAGTTTCTAATTTTTCCGTGAAAACCCTTGGAATGACACAAATTTCGAGCTAGGTCTCAAAACCGAGTTGCATTACATAAACTAAAATAAGAGCCAGATTTAACAAAAGGTCCAAGCAACACCTGAAATCCTCTACGGAAAGACCAGTTGTCAAAAGCCAATGCAAAAACCATTACAAGACATTGGCACCACGAAGTGTGATCGAATGTCGACTCTGGTTCCTTGCATTTGTATAACCAGGGCGGAAGTGTCTGGCCAGTATTTGTACATAACCATAATTCAAGTGTATGCGTCGCTCAATACCTTGAGGGAAATCAATACCTTGAGGGAAATAAGTCCCAAGGGTATACACGACAGATCCAAAAAATCTGAAAAACCAAATACAGTTTTTTGCGAAAACGTTGAACGAATTTTAATTTTTATCATGTAATTAATTGCATTATACAGGCTGATTCAAAATTCAGTTCAAATAATTTAGGAGCGTATTTTTGAGTCCAAAATATTTTTTTATATTTTCACCGTAAATAGTTATAAAATTTGAAAATATGATGTGCATTTAACTCTTCTCCAGCCAATATCTCGGAAACGGTTATTCTGAGAGATTTCGACCAAGTATACCTTTTTTGTTTAAAATTAATAGGGGAATAAACGCACTATACGAACCGTCAATGTATAGGGTAGCAAAAAAGTTAGGGTCAATTTAATTCAAGCGTACCCTTAAAGTGCGAAAATGCTCTTAATTCCAAGAAAGAAAACATTTCAGTAGAAAATGGTTCATTTAGAAGCCTATCAGTGTCATCTCGAGGGTGTATTCATTGTAATTAGGCCAAACAAATCAGAAAGGAAACCTCTAAGAAGAATAGTCAACCCTAGTAGAAAAAGACCAACTAGTGCGACGCGCTCTTCCGCAAAGAGAGGGCTGCGACAACCTTGATTACCCTTCTGGCGTAAACAGCGATCTTATCCAAAAGAGAGGTTGGAAAATATAAATCACGACAATTTCTTCTTGATTTTATTTAGGTCATAGTACAAAATTGTTGGAAACTGGAACAGACGGATACTGTTAAAAATCAAAGTTGCGATCTTTTGTTCATACACAGGGTGTTTCATAATAGTATGTCTTTATTAAGGGGGGGAATCTGCGCATGATTTTAAATGCAAAAGTTCATATAAACATATGTCCGTAAATATTCCGTTACCGTGGTACAGAGTGTTAACGATTTAATAATTTTTCTGTTTTTTCTTTGTATCTCTCACAGTTTTTGAGACATGTACAAATTTGGAACGCAGGCTAACTTAGATTACCTGCATCATTAGCGCTTCCTAATAGTTGTCACGATTTATGGGGTGATGCTTTTTCTGGGGTCGGACCCCTTTTCAGCCCCCCAAACATTCCTTCGGTACGTCACTGGTCTTCTCGAGAACAAGGGTTTAGAATTAGACTCGGTTTTTAATTTAGCGAGTTACAGGAAATCATGAAACGGCAGCAGATACGAAAACATTGCAAGAAATAACATTTGAACAGGGAAATAAACCCTTAATCTAGAAGATTAAGGTTCACTTCTCGATTCTCGATTCTAGAAAAAGTATCAGTACGAGACTACTATTAGGCAGGGCTAATGATGCAAGTAATTTATTTTAACCTACGTTCCAAATTTGAGCATATCTCAAAAATTGTGGGAGATACAAAGAAAAAACAGAAAAATTACTGAAATTTTACCATGGCAACGAAGCATTTACGGGCATATGTTGTTTATATGAACTTTTTTACTTAAAATCATGCGCAGATCCACCTCCCTGAATAAGGAAATTATGAAACACCCTGTATATTGCTTATATTGTTCCATTTTGATATAAATAACCGACTGTTAAAATTAGAACGCCACTTTTAAGAACACGTGCTTGCAATGGGAACTTGGTGGACTATACAAGATAAATGGCTTAAAATGTTTGTGATGAGTCTGTAAATGAATTGTTAGTAATGATTTCGGGTTTATTTATAACTTTTTGTAACAAATTGCAGTAGCCTTAAATTTTAAGCGCAACAATTTGCAGTGGCTCCTAACAAACCCAATTTTAAAGACATCTCATTAACAAATGACTAAATATCGGTCTAACTTAGTACGATCTTAATTAGCATCAGAATTTTACTGTTTAAGTTTGTTTTCATTCCGGATACAGGTGATACCCACTTTATTATAATTGAACTTAAGCCAAAATCGTCAAGGTGTAATTAATATATGCCCCCTGCTTCTTCTGTTTCCACCTATTTCTATAGCGGAGTGGAATTATATCTTCGAAAATATTTAATTAAGGCCAGAGCTCGGATTAAACGTCTAGAAACACGTACTGGCACATCCCGGACTGCGAGCTTTAATTAATTTTTGCAGTATTAACTTCAAGCCATAGAATAGAATTAAAGCGAATTTATCATATTTCTTTAAAAGGGCAGGATATTCAGCAGCTTGTAGTAATGAGATTTATTTATTTACCACACACGTAAAAGTTCTGAAAGTAATTATCACTGGAATGGTAATAATTTTTATGAAATATGTGTTTTATTAAATTTTTACTCTGTAGATATGAATTTTTATAATTTCAGAACTTCAGGCGGAAATTTCCTGCAGAATAATTTTGAAGGTGCAAAATTAATAACCTCTTTCAGGATTTTCATTACATGCTTACCTGCAACTATCATATGAGCTACTTTGATGTCAGTGTGGAAGAGTGGGCCATCTGCTGATACCTCGCACTTATAGTCTCCTGTTAGTTCTCTGCTGACCCCGCGCAGGGTCACTTCAGTTGGTCCTGAGCGGGATATCTGAAAATAAATAAATTACACAAAAATTGATAAAACAATTTGATGCTTTTATTAGATATGTTTTTTACGTTCTATTTACGTTTCAAAATGGTAGTTCACGGCAAATAGTATTGATTGAACCTTCCCGGAAATTACATTTTTTTCTGAGACAAATGGTGGAAGCAGCATCTAAATCGAAATTATTATGGAAGTTATTTGAACATTCGTTCCGTAATACACAGAATGATGCTGCAGGAAACATTTAAAGCTAATTCCTGACAGAAAATCAAAAAAACAAACAGTAATACTTTTTTCTTAAAAGAAGACTTAACAAGCAAGAAAGCTTTGACGCTAAAATTGGTCTAAATATGTAAAAAAAAACTCTCGTAAACATTAAATAACTTGTTTGACAGACCCTTCAGACTTCCACCAATTCCGACGCCACTGTTTAGTTTTATTCGTTGGTCACTTCTATAAGGAGCCTCCGCTACACTAAAATTGATGTCGATATACATATTCAACATACAGGGTGGTGCATAATATACAGGGTGTCCCAATAAGGTCGGCGAGGTACGATATTAGAGAAAGTATAGATCCTAGAGTCCTAGAGCTTCAGGAAAAAAATTTTGATTAATAAATCGACCAAGAGAAATAGCGGGAAATAGTTTTCAAGTTCGTAGCTCGTATGTTAAGGAGCGCAATCTACGTACCAAAACATAGAGTTGACTTTTTTTCAGAAATGTTTCCTATTCAGGTATATTAAATAGTACAAATATGGATAGCCGGGTTCATTGCGCATAACTTTTGTTATTGACATTTTGTTCTATCTCTCGACAGAAAGGGTGGGGGAAGCCCTTAATGTCTGATCAGAAAAATGCATTTTTTTAAGGATTGGCTCTTCAAAAACCCATAGTGTTATACCTCGTTGGAAAGGTATTTTCATGCTTTGTCATTTACCTCAAGTATTTATTTTTAGCTCACTAATTTGCGAATAACTTGATAACAAAAAAAGATATCGAACCTTTCTGGCGTCAAAATGTAGCTATTTTTATGCTCTTCAAACTAACAGAGAAAATATTTTATCTTGCTATTTCACTTTTTTAAAATAAAGTGAAACAACCTAAACTTGGATAAATAGCGCCAGTAAATAAACAACACTTTCGTTAGGAATTTCAATCTTATACTATATTCATCAATTTTTTGTGCTGAATTCATTTACGTAAAGAAAAATATAGCATTGCATTTAAAATTTTTGAGAAAAATCCATGAAACGTCATTCGTTTGAAACAACGCTATCTATAGGTTTTTATTAGATAAATCATTGGAAATAAAAACTAATTGCCATCATATCTGTGACATAAACAGAAATTTTAAGTTTAAAAGAGAACTTTTTTCTTTGTGACTAATTACAGAATTTGAGCTTTCCTCTTCCTGTAGTTATATACTTTTCTTCTTTATTTTATAACACCTACAAAATTATCAATCACAATGAATTGTAACAATTTTCAAACCAACAGTTATGTATAAACTAAGACAACAATAAACAATTTGCCAAATTCGGCCAGGAAATATAGAGTTGGAAGCGACTTTTTAGGTCGGCAAGCTGAATTTATCACGATAGATGCTAAATATTATGTACAATAACATTAGTTTCCACAGTCATAAAAATGGGGAGAAGATTGTTTACAGGGTGGTTAATTGTATAATTTTTAAGTAAATTCACGTTTTTCGCTTGTAACTTTTTTCCGTTCATTTCAACGAGAAAACAGTAAAGTACTTTTTTTTCGTCTTCAAAAGACCTCCAAAACTAGCCCTCTAGCGTCAAAAAATATTGATTATATCAAAAATTATAAATATAAGAAGTTTATTTATGACTTTTGAATTAAATATAAACTGCATTATTATTACCAGAACGTTTTGGCATCGCATCATCTCATTCCTTATCACTGCCTAATAACTCACACGAAATCTGGAATCGGTAAGTTGAATAGTTTACAAGTTATGGCCTTATAAACAAATCAACTAATTATTGGTCTGGACGATTCCGAGGATCGCACTGATTTTTTTCATAGTAAATTTCATAATAATACATTGAAATCTATAATTATTTTTTTTAATTTCAAAATTGCAACCTGGACATATTTTTTATTTTTCAGCCTTAGTTGCAGTATGACGCACGAGCGTGATATAGTTATATATTATTACATATTATAGACTGTCAAATATATTATTGTCAAGCGAATTTCGCTTATTTAACGGCATGACTATGAATATTATCGTCATTTTCTTCGGACTCGCTGTTGTTCGCTTCCCCCACCCTTCCGCCGCGCCACGGCTCGCCGAAAATCAAGCGACCCACTGACTTTTGACAATATTTCTTATGCACTTAATATACTTCTACAAATAAAATATTTTTATCTGGGAAAGTACTAGGGTTGCCGGTTATGACAGTATTTTCTTTTGCCGCTACCAACCTAATTTGTTTAACAATAGGTCGTCAACTTTGACAGTCTGTAACTCCGTTGTTTTTCAACGAATCTTGACGATTTTTTTTTAACTTGAAGCTCTTTTCAAAAATCGACTAAATGGTGCACCTCCCCATTATGCAACACCTGTCCGTGCTTATTTAGATGAGCTGTTCCCGAATCGTTGGATAGGGAGAAGGGGGCCGATTGAGTGGCCAACCAGATCGCCTGATTTGACACCCCTAGATTATTTCTTGCGGGGATACTTAAAAAGCAAAGTATACGTTACTAGACCGGTTAATTTAGAAGATTTAAAAGCAAGAATTCGTCACGAGATACATCGTATACCTACTGAAGTTATTGATAATTTATTAATCGTCTTGGCTACTGTCAGGCAGCCAACGGTGCACAATTTGAACATTTAATTTAGTCGATTTTTACATAATCATTATCATTTTCAGTATTGTGAAAATTAAATTTTAAAATCTTCAAACATTATTTTCTTGAAATTTTTGTTATGTAGCACCTTAATTTTTCATGATCTCTGTATGTAGAATGACACGCTCTTTCAAATGGCATGGTGAAAATTAAGGGTGGCTATTTAAAAAAATTGTCGATGACGTCATATCTCGAATAACGATGACGTCACAAATATGGGTCGTATGTCAAAAAGTGCATTTTTTAAAGACAAAATCGATGTGCCAGGGGATTTTTTCGAAAACTTCTCAATTTAAAAAATAATGAATTTATTCGTTACTTTTCTAAAGCACTGTATATCTCTTAAAATAAAAAAGTTGAAGCAGGTACGTAAAAACTAAGAACTCTTCAACTCAGAAAAAAAAATTAGCAAAAAAATTCCGTTCTGAGTTACAGCTAGTATTAGTCGATCAAACTTCAGCGGGGTGTGGATAATATTCGAAGTACCTCTTTTTATTTATTTTTGTTTATACTAAGGTACATACACACTGTATTTTTTAGAGTCTCTATACCATTTTAAGGGAACACTAATACAGTATTAGGACCAATTATTTAAATGCAACCATATGCAATGCAATTACGTAAAGGATAATAGAAAATCCAGTACATCAACAAAGTTCACATAGATGTGGAACCAAACGCTACCTGATGAATTGAAATGTAATCTACATCAGCGTTTAGAAAAGGAAATAAAACGAAACGTACATCACAGAATTACATTTCAGCACGAATTTCAGCATCGCTATATGATCGCTTTATAACTATCCCTTTAAACTGATTAATTAATTTAATTAATTTGACTTATCTGCAAGGTTTAAACTGTAACCTAAATTTTATCGGTCGCAGTGTTTACCAAAAATATTTCCGGTAATTGCAAAATTAACCGCAGGTAATCAGCGATAGTGGCATGTGTTTTTTTTTTGTTTTCGCTTTATATTATTAATAGTACTGAATTTTGGTTTCCGAATACATTGTTTGTTAAAAAATAATTATATTTAGTATATTTCAGTGCATTTAAAACCAGCTTTGATGTGGATCAATTTAATATATTATTAATTTAGCTTTTTAGCGACCGTTGTAAAATATTTAAACAAGGTTGTTAGGAAATTAATGCGAAAAATAGTTTTATTCGATTTGTTTCCAGCGGACTGGGTATTCTAGAACGAAGTATCATATTATGCAGAATATTAAAAAAAAAATTTTTGTCTTTTGGTTTGGTTTGGCTTTTGGTCTTATGGATCATTAATAGTTATTTGTTTAACTAGACAGTAGGTACAAGATTTAATGCCGGTAATGCTGGTATTTAACAGACGAGGCACAGCCGAATCTATTAAAGCAGCCAATACATTAAATCTAGTTTACTGCCAAGTTAAAAACATAATTTTTTCGCCGAACAATTTTAATTTTATCATAATAGCAAACAAAGTTATTTATTTTATATTATTAAAATTGTATGATACTGTAGTGATTGTCTTTTAGCTGTAGTGATGGCCTTATTACTTATCTTTGTATGTAAGATTTATTTACTTTTATCAGATCAGTTAGGGTCTGTTGTAGCTAAGGAAAATGATTGACAAAAAAACAAGATTTTGTATTAGCAGAAAAAATAAAATATAAAATTATTTTGAGGCCTCATCCTTTTCGAATTCAATTATATTAGCAAGAATTTAAAATATATTATTTATGTTGCGATAAAAGTACATCGTCAACATAGCTACCTACTTCTTTCATGAATAATAACAATTTAATCAGGTCGTATGTGGTTGCTATGAGACCGTTATTAAGTAAATAACTTAGGTACACAGTAATCACCATATTGTTCTTATTTAAATCCATAAAAATAACTATACTATTTTTGAGATGGAAGAATTCACATTAACTCCACCATAAATTATTGAATCAGCAAAGCAAATAGAGCGTAATTTATTACCAGAAAAATCGAAGAAGATTTATCAGCAAACATATAAAAAATTTAATGATTACCGGACTAAGAATAACATTGTCTTTTTCAGAAAAGGTACTATTGGCATATTTTTCTGAATTCAAAACAAACAGGACAAGGGATATCTCTTAGAGGCT